ATTACTAATACTCTTTATTGATTTACTTTCGTGGTTAAGGAAAAGGTGTTGTACGTACTCCACATGAAGACATCCATTAGCCTACATATGTAAATTCGTTTGTTGAGCGCAAATATTTCTTTGAAAACTATTTCTAAATTCAGTTCTAGAGTTGTATCCAAACACATGTCCTATTCTTATGCCTCATATGGTGATGCAGAAGTCCCGACTGGTGGACAAATCTAAACTTGTTTTTATTAAAACAAATATATATATATATATATATGCATATAATAAATAATACTACTACTAATAATAGCATAATACAAATACAAATTGTCATGAATAAACTGAAAAAAAAGACCCCTGAGTTGAAAAAGGCATGTATGTAGTGGTTTTTATCCACTTGTTAAGTGTGACGGCACGCAAAGCAGCTTCCAGGATCTTCTCTCGATCACACTGTATGGGGAGACACAACAAATGGTAATAATAAACAAGAATGGATTTGCTATTTAAACTACGTGGGGCAAAACTTGAAAATTAGAGTTGGGCTGGTGTGAAAATAGCAAAAAATCATGGCATACACATCTTACTGCGCTGAGTGTATGATATATGGGGCAAGGATTTAAATTGCTTCTGTTAGAATATAAGTATGAACAAACACATACATCCATGTAAGCAAGGTCATTGCAAAGCAACTTTATTACCTTTATATTATGTTTCATCTGGATCTAATGACATTTTGTTCTGCCCTGTTTAATTTTCACCAATAATTCACAGTTCCATGGTATTGATACTGTAAACAAACGGATCATAAATGTGTGGATTGAAGTTAATTATTTACAGTAATGCTTCTCTGTAGCTGAGCGGTTTTGCCAAAGAAACACAATATGTCATGGGTATAAAAAAGAAATGTGCATAGTGAAATGACCAGTAAATCATTGATTTTATATTTCTAAATCAAACAGAGCGTGTGTTTGTGTTTCCAGGGTTCAGACATACAGTTGAAGTCAGAATTATTAGCCCCCTTTTGTTTTTTTTTTCTTTTGTTTTTTTTATATTTCCCAAATGATGTTTAACAGAGCAAGGAAATTTTCACAGTATGTCTGATAATATTTTTTCTTCTGGAGAAAGTCTTATTTGTTTTATTTCGGCTAGAATAAAAGCAGTTTTTAATTTTTAAAAAAACAATTTTGAGACAAAATTATTAGCCCCTTTAAGCTATTTTTTTTCGATAGTCTACAGAACAAACTATCGTTATACAATAACTTGCCTAAATACCCTAACCTACCTAGTTCACCTTATTAACCTAGTGAAGCCATTAAATGTCACTTAAAGCTGTACAGAAGTGTCTTGAAAAATATCAAGTAAAATATTATTATCATGACAAAGATTAAATAAATCAGTTATTAGAAATAGATTTCTAAAACTATTATGATTAGAAATGTGCTGAAACAATCTTCCCTCCATTAAACAGAAATTGGGGAAATAAATAAACAGGGGCACTAATAAGTTAGGGGGGCTAATAATTCTGACTTCAACTGTACATAGATAACGTTAAATAAATCGGTGTCATTTCTTTCATATGCATAAATACAGGTAAAATGTGCAGACATGTTTTGCACAGTATAATTTTTGATGGCATGTGAACTATAAATGAGAATTATCACACTGACTTCAGTTCAAAACTAATGCAGGAATATACTGTAGCGTTGTTTCATTAAAGACATAGTTCACCCAAAATTGAAAATGTAATCACCCTCAAATGGTTCTATACCTTTTAATTTATTTTTTTTTAATTCTGTTGAACACAAAATGAGATCAATTGAAGAAAGCCGAAAACCTCTTACCATAGAAAAAATATGATGAAGGTCAACCCAGGCTCATTCTGAAAACGTAGTCCCGCGGACGTTTCTGGAGACCGAGGAATACGTCCTGGGAGGTACATACGGCTGCAGTTTTTGTTTTTGCGAATCCACGAGAGGCTGCTGTGTGCGCTTTTTCACATCTCAAATTCGGGTTGCAGCGGGAAAGCCCTTCACAAGGAGAAAAGCGGTCGGCCGGCCGGCAAGCGCGAAAGGGAACAGCGTCACACCGCCCCGTAGCGTTCGCTTAAAAAAAATAAATGCAGCCGTACGTACCTCCAGGAACGTATTCCGCTGTCTCCAGAAACGTCCGCGGAACTACGTTTTCAGAATGAGCCTGGGTTGCAATAATAACTGACAACAACAATAATGAATTACAAGTACTACACCAACTACTTCTACAGAAAGTTACTAATATTACAACTACTACTGCTTCTACTACAGCTACAACCCACGACTATTACTACTACAATGTCTACTAATACTGATACTACTACAGCAATGACTACTACTACTACTACTGACACTACTACAGCAATCACTGCCACTAAAACATCTACATCGACAACATCTGATACTACTACACCAACAACGACTACTACTACTACAACAACAACAATACCACCTTTACTACTTATGATACCACTATACCAATGACATTAACTACTACAGAAACTACTACAACTTCTACTTCAATAATCATAACTACAATCGATACTACTACAATGACTACTACTACTACAACTACAGCAACCTTAATAATGACAACAAATGCTGTATTCTTGATTTACAATTATGTTTATAATGTGCTTAATAATTGTATTTTCATACGTTGTTGATGATTTATTTTTCGTTACTAAATTATGTATTGCATTATTTACAAACCAGTTATTTAATCAATCAACAGTTGGTGGACTTTTAAGGCCCCGTTTACACAAGTACGTTTTAATTTTAAAACAGCATTTTAGATCAAAAACTATCCACATCCACACTAGCGTTTCACATAGCGTTTCTGACCATATCTTCGTCCACACTATGCCACCAAAAATGTATATCACGTGACCATTCGCTCACTCTGGGCATGTGTGTTCTAATACAAACAGGAAGCATGTGTCTCGCTCGGCATTTGGTTATTGTTAGTCAACAAACGCCGGTTGAACAATGAACGCGATGGCAAAGAAAGCAAGAGAGGTATTTTAATAAACGTAAGAAATGAATAACTGCACAATGGTGCCTAAAACAGACAATAGTGCAAACAACGCTCCCATTTCTGTGTCCATGTTGTTTGTTTACAGTGAAGGCTGCTCTGCTGTCTTCCGGTAGCGTTAAAGCCATGTGTTATAGTCATGTGATAGGGGCTTGACGAATAAGGGAAGGATACGCAATGACACAAAAGCCCCAATCAGGTAGCGAATCTCAGCAGCCCCGCCTCTGTTTTCAGATGTCTCCATTCTGCCTCATCCACACTGAGATGTAGCAGCAGCGTTTTAGAATAAAAAATGGCCTCTTCAGCGTTTCCAAAACGCTCCGTTTTGTGCATAGTGTGCATAGTGTGGGCGGATGGCGTAACTATAGCAAAACCTATGGGTTTTCAAACTAAAAAGCATTAGTGTTAATGGGGCCTACGGTCGTTCAGAATGAGTTAGTAATGATTATTAAACTATTTAAATCATTGTTTAGAATTCTTATAAACCCATTCTTCCCAGTCTTAATTCTTATTATTCATGCATATATTAATAGTTAATTTGTGTGTTAATAAATGCTTTATTAACTCACCTTCATCCAGCTTTGTGACCTAATCTAAAGTGAGGGTTATTTATGCCTTATAAATCCCTTATAAATTACAATTTAAGGAACAAGAGGTGTAGTTGCGAGTGCTCAACTTTGCGACGCAGTATGTGAATGTTCGTTGGTGCAACGGTTTTGTTAAACGGCAAATCAACAAACTATGCTTGTAACAATGGAACTTGCGACCTTAGTTGGCTAATGATGGTTTTGGGCTTTCGCACCCCTTATTGAGTCCTTTAGGCTTGTTTATAACCTACAGGTAAGCGTGTTGAAGCAGGGTTGGAACTAAACTGTGCTGGGCTGCGGCCCTCCAGGAACTGAGTTTGACACCCAGTCAGGGAACTGTGTGAACTGTGGCGCAGACTGAAGAACAACAGATCACCTCTTGTATTTCTTGTCCTTGTTTCCTGATTTTATATATGAAAAAATAGGTCCCTCTTCATATTAAGTGGCCTTAACTAATATGTACTTACACAGGAATTGATAGTTTGTTACAATGGACTTATTATGTAAATACATGTATTTACTGTGTACTTATGCTTGATTAAATACATGTATGTAATAACATCTGTAATTAACTTTTGTAATTACATTTGTAAATACACGGTTGACCATCCCTTACACC